ATTACTACAAACATTAGGCACAAACAACCATAGCCACTGTTAATTTTATTTAATTTATTTACAAACTTTTTCACTTGGTCTTTTGGATAGAAAAAGTTGAGAAAAGTAAAAACTTGGTAAATAGTTGATCAATAAAGAGGTGTGGTGTCGGTCCTATGGGCATGACAATTTGACAAAGCCCAAATACACACATGAAGAAATATATAATATATGCTGTTAAAGGTGTTGTTCTGATGGTGCATTAAATATGTGCTTTGCATTTGCGTATCTACAGGGTTATGTATAGTACAAAGCTAAAATGACTATTGTACTCATAATCACTACAATAAAGAGCTAAAAAAAAAAAAAAAAAAAAGGGGAGAGCACTCACACAGTCAAAGGATTACTCTGCCCCTCAAGAGAGAGAAAGAGTTGTGGACACAGAATAGGACATTATAAATTGGAAACATATTAACAAATCAGTGTATGAGTTGAAAAATAATTAATAAATCACATGATAAATTTTTATTAACTATTAATAATTAAAATATAAAAAAAAATTATAATCGTAGTAAATTTTTGCAAATTTTCCAAATTCAGCGCCACAACGAACACACAATATAAACAGCACATATATCCCCATAAAAAAATGTATTATATCTAAAGCGCCTTTTGGTTTTTTTTTTTTTTTTCAAATATATTCTCTTTATTTTTCATTTTAATCTTTCATGTTATGAAACAAAAACAATAAATGTTTTTTAAAAGGAAAATAAATTCATATATACCACTATTGTGTGTAAGAAAATCAAATCAAATAAATGTGTGTTTGTGGCATTATGTGGAATTGTCCACGAGACAAATTTTTGAATGCCCATATTACCCCCAAACATTAACAATAATAGATGGGATATTATATCAAAATTAATCAAAAAAAGAGATTACACAAAAATTTGTTTTATGCAAAGGAGTATTCGATGATATTGTTCTTCAAACACCATATAAACAGACCCATTCTTATGACTTGTTTAAGAAATGGTTTATTTTAATTGATTTTTTTAATTTTTATAAAAAATATATTGTAGAAAATAAAGAGAGTAATATAACAATTATAATGATTTTTTGATTTTTAACTATTTTAAGCCTTAGACAAATTAGACCTTTTAAATCAATCAAAATAAGAAAGCACACCATAATCACACCACTCATATATAGTAATTAAAAAAATTGCTGGGCTGCACCTATTAAATCCTAAATTTGCAATGTCTTCTGACTAATAAATTTGTTCACATATTTTAAATGTAAACAATGTATAATTATAAACTTCATATTAAAAAGTATAACTCCACTCAAAAATAATAAATCTCATTATTTTAAAACAATCTTGTTTTGACAAGTTATTAAAAAAAGTATAATTTATTATCTTTTATTTTATTTAAATCGCATCATTTATTTTAGGTTATATTACCTTCTTTTATCATATTATATATCATTTTAGTATAAAAAAATATTAAAATAGCATATGTGAACAAAATCATGTTGACAATTTTAGTCTTCGTTTTGAAAGAATTAAAATAGCTTGGCTTTTGACTTTTTAACTTCTTTTAACTTAACTTTTTTAGTCTCATTTAATTTTTATTTTATGGCTTTTTTTGACTTTGATAAAGAAAAAATATAATAATTATGATTTATATATATATTTTGTCTTATTAATTTATGTAACTAATTTTTATCTTTTTATACTACTTTTTAACCAAAAAGCGAATACGAAACATAGCTTTAATCATAATTTGGATTTACAAAGGAAGGACATGAGGTGTAATGAATGGCGTATGTTCCAAACAATACATTTGCTGAAAATGGCAGAATCTTTAGGTGCATGGTACAAAAACTGATTGGCGGGGCACCCTCGGACCTCTATTACCCAACTTTCTGTCAATAATCATTATTATGCTTCTCCACTACACTAATATTATTAGGGAAGAATTTCAGAGCAGTGTAAAATTTTTAAAAATAATAATAATTACAAATTAATGATCAAATTTATTAATATTAATAATTAAAATATAATTCATATATATATATATATTATAATAATTTTCTCAAATTATCACTGAGAATAATTTTTCCTATTATTAGTATGTGCATTCATCATACAGTAATTTAACATCTTGAGAATCATACAAACAAGCACCTGACATTTATGTATGCTCGAGCATATAATTTTGGTTTTACAAATTTATGTCTCTTAATATTGTTTTGAAAAGTTATTGATCATTTAAAAATACAAATATATAAATATATTAGAATACATAATATATATTTAATTATTTTAATGTAAAAAAATATCTTGAAATTGTTACCTTTTTATGTTATTTTTCTTTGTTGATTGATTGTCCTTTGGCAGCTTATCATTAACATGACATTAGTGTAATTATTATTATTTATATATAATCACATAATACGTATTCATCCCTTCAATTTCAGTTTGTAACATTCAAAGCTTAAAATGTAAGGAAAATAAAAATGAAAAGAAAAAAAAAAAATAAAATGATTATTGCTGTTAATAAAAGAGAATTATTATTCACACTTCACTTTTTTTATAACCACACTCTAAAATTGGTATTCTCTTTCTAAAATTACAAATGAGACAAAATTTTGAAATATATAGTTAGGAAGTGGGAATAATGTTTTCTTAATCACAATATTACAACCATATTTTTTATAATTTGACACTTATATCATTTTTATTATTAAAGTTCTAATTGTATTAATTTAATCCAATTGATAGTTTTGTTTAAAAATTTGACTGAAATTAATGAGTAAAATAGTACATTCAATCTCTTTGAATAGATTGAAGGCTTGGCATTCAATTTGAAATAGCCAATGTTCTTTTGATCAACCATTTTATTGTTAATTTTTGTCTAATAATAATTTCTTAATAGATATTAATAATTAGACTAAATTGATACAATATAAAAAATTAAAATAAAATTAAGAGACAAATTGATAAAATTACAATTACATCAACTCAATAACTCTACGGTACGAACACAGAACCAACCACATAAAACACAGATGAAGCATTTGAGTGTATCTTTTATAATAAACTTCGCCTGTGATATATATGATTAAAATTATTTCATATAGTTGGTTGTGTCCATAAATAATTTTTCCAAATGATAAATTTTACTACTTTCCTCTTACAATTAAAATGAACAAAAAAAAATTCAAACAATGGAAAGAGTAATTTTTGTTGGGCAATTTTGAAAGTAAAGTGTTACAAAACTTTTTTAAAATATATATATCTATCTATCTATCTATCTATCTATACTATTATAAAGTGAACACATAACTATTTTTTAAAAAAAAGTTAAACAAAGAGATGGGCAAGGCTTGAACCCATGACCATGGGTTTAAGTACGAGGACTCATACCACTTAAGCTAAATACACATTATAATATTAATTTCATTATTATTTTTTTTTATTCCTACTTATTTAAATTGCACACACATCGTGTGTGCCACCCACTAGTATATATATATATATATATGAACACCAAACTAACTTGTTAACTTTACACTTTAAAATAATAGTCGGAGAACGCATTTTAATAGTCAGAGATCATGTTCACCAACTCTTAGATCAATCGCCGAAACGATTTAAATTCCTATTCTACAATGGCCGAAGTTATAGATAGAAAATTTCTCTTTAATTCTATGGATTGTTTGCAGCTTACGTGAGTTATTTATAGTTTTTTGTTATTCTCAAAATTTGCGTCAAAGTGTTTAATGCAGGTTGTGTTTATTATTTATTAAATAAAAATAACTTAAATAAGTATTTTAAAAAAGATGGTACTTCAAAAAAAAGTTTCAAAAATACAATTATCAAGATGTTAGGTGACAAGTATTTTTTATTTTTCCTTTCTGATTATCAACTTCACACAAGATATTGCTGTTAGCGAGAACTCGGTGATCAACTCTCTTTCTATAATAATATACGAGCTTTATTCATTTTGTATTTATATCACTCATTTTGAAAAAAAACAATTATATTAATTATATATTATATTTTGATCTTGTAATTCACCAAACTTCATCTAACGTGACACATTAAACACAACAAAAAACAAAAAAAACAAAAAATGGACGTCTCTAATAAATATAAATAGTACCTAAATATAAATAGTACCAAACTACAAAATGTAGTAGCAATTTAAACCATAGCCTTCCAAAGTGGTGATTTAAAAAAGAGGCCACTATTATTGATGGGCCCTATGTGGACCAATTGAACCACTCGTAAAAGCCCAGTTTCACCATTGTCAAAGAGTGTGGAGGCCCCCCCTTCTGCCTGCCAAAATGACAATTGACAACCTACAACCTAGAGAGAGAGAGAGAGAGAGAGAGAGAGAGAATGTACTAACAAAAATAAACCCAATTCCTTTTCATGTCCATTTCTCTGCATTTTTCTTTCACTCACGTCCACTTCCAATGATGTGAGACATTAAATGGATAAGCTTTTATTTAGAAGCTTTTATGGTGTGTTTGGTGGCATGAATCACAAATGCTAGCTTACAAGAACTTGGCCCCAACCCATGCTAAAAGATGATCACACCAAACCCTTTTGTCTGAATCCTTAAATGCCCACCATAGAGTATAGCCAAACAGTATTTCAGAGAGTGAGCAAGCAAAAACATTTTTCACTTCAAAATGTTGTACAAGCTGTATTTAAACTTACGATCCACACATTATGCTGTAATTCTAATGACTCAGTAAATTATGATCCACTATGATAAGATTGTAGTTTTAATTACATTGCATCCTAACTTAAAGGCACATCGCTTCATAACTTGAATAGGTACATAACACAAAATGACCCTAGTTTTCATCTATGTATCTTGGTAAACCAATAATATTGAGATGTCTAACCATCCTATAATCCCAAAATATGAAGGAAAAAAAAAAAATTATAATATACAACCCGTACCACATTCGTTCATAAGAAGCGTACATTGGTCGTAAATAAATTACTAATTTACACATAAACTTGGATGCGATCCAATATGACCTTGTTACAAATGAATGTGATCTTAATTACAAATGAATACCATACACATTTTGTGGGAATATGCCCTAAAAGAGATCGCCACAAGCTAATAGAGATGACAAATTTTAATGGCTAGCGAACAGCAAAGGATTGTTTAGAAATTAATGATTGCCCCAAAATAGGAATGAATGAATGAATGATCACGGTGGCAGTGCATTCTAGCGTAATATGAAGGCTTGCAAAAGCAATTGAATGAAGTGGTGCACGGCCTGTAAGAAGTTGAAATAAGCTATTCATTGTCCGTCGTCCTATGGAAAGCTTCGAAAACATAGTGACCACAAGGTCAGCAAACAGGACCAGTTCTAGAGACCCATTCAATAACTGTCAAAAGCAACCACATGTCTCTTTACTAATCAAAAGCAACCGTGGATGATAGTACCTGAAAATGAAAACACTATATGATAAAAGGAGGTGTGTACTTCTGCTCATATGCTTCTGTATTCACAATAAACCAAAACTAAAATTACAACTAGAGATTGAAAAACATGGGGTTTTTTTCGAATTTAGTTTTCCTGCTTATGTCTGTTATGAAATAAAAATTATAAAAAACACAAAAGAAAACCGAAAAAAAAGAGGAGTTATAAGGAGAGTTTTGATTTATGTACCTGATCATCATGGAATGCACTTGCTATGTCAATGAGCCAGAACCATATACATCTTTCAAAATCAGCTAGCACCATGAATCTATTCCAGAAAACTGATAGCAGAATCTATTTGGGGAATTCAAGAATTTTTTTAACTAATTACAGTGTTCAGGAGATCAGGAGATTTACCTTGGGGGGGGGGGGGGAGAACAAAAAAAGAAGAAGGAATAAATTGGAATCCATGAAACAGTTGCAGTGAGACAGAACATGTAGTCTGTTGCCTGAAAAAATAACAGCTTTATGAATGCTGACATTTTCAAATAAACACAAACAAGGTCGGCATCAAACATAACCTTTATGCATCCTGTACATAAAAGCATCAAACTACAAAAATACAGTTTATAGCTAAAATAAATGGGTGAACCTAGCCATAACTTATTTAGGATATGAAGGCTTTGGCATGAATAGGTTCAAGTGGACTATTCAAAACCAATTAAAAATAAATGGAACCATCAATCTGCTAAATTTGATTTATCTTTCTGTTATTTCAGAAAAAATTCCGCCGATTTGGGCAGCCCAAAAAGCAACCAATATTTCAAACTTATTTTATAACAAGCAATCTTGCCATGTCTAAACATAGCACTTTCAATTTTCTTGACAGTGCATAACTTCTGAATCACTTTACTCTCTGTAAATGGCACTTAATGCAAAGTTGACATTAAAAACCTTCACAAATAGGGCAACTACCTTTCTAGTTAGGCATAATAAGAAAAAACCATAATGGTAGTGAACGAAAAGCGAAAAAGATTAGCCTGGTTGTGCCGAAGGGGAAGTTGAATCAAACAAACTCAAGGTATTTTCATATGATATCAAAAAAGAATGTACACATCTATTTCATTATCTCTCTGCTT